ATCTATATCATATGACATTTGAATGTGGCGGCGATAACCCGTGACCCGCACTTAGGGGGGGCCGCCCTGGCTGCGTCGGACTTTCAGCCCCGCTTATACCCAACTGCCCAGGATATAACTATTACTAATAAATCAGCATCTAACAATGATTTAAGTTCATTCCAAACGAGATGCATTTACAATAATGGAAAAGCTGGGTTAAATTTCCGATCATCAATTTTTAAATAAATCCAACTATATATATCGATATAATCAGAAATTGCCGTGGCTTATGCGGTACCCATCTTGTCTATATTCAACATGATAGTGTAATGAAAAAATTGTCGCTCGTTTATCTACTTAATTGCACGAAGTTAAGGCCTCAACAGTTTCATCAGTTTGGGTTTTAAATATTTATTTTATAGATTAAAATAATCTTTAATTGCTTTAAATACAGTGTTTTAATAAAATATATTTTATATATATAGATTATAATATTTAGTGTGTAACATAAATTACTATGTATATTAAAATTTTGATATAAAAATTAAACTGCGTATTTGTACGTACGTACGTACATATGCTATATCCGGATAACGGATAAATCCGAACATGCCACTACGTAGAGTCATTTTTATTTTAGAAATGTAACTGTTCTTATTTAACCGTAGTTAAGATGCCCCACTATATTTGCAAGTTATATATCCTTAAATGTACAGATTTTTTAACTTTGTTTATCACCTTGAATATTTTCGTATTCCCTTTCATCCTCACCAAAAATCTCTAAATTTGATATTCTTTCACATTCTATTTCATTAAAATTATATTTTGACGCATCATTACATCTAATGTATCCTTCTTCTTCGTCATATTTTGTCCATTCAGTTTCCATTTCTTCTTCAATTGTCTCATGTAATTCTTGCATGAATTCGGACATAGACCAAGGATATAAAAAGTGTCGGAGAATAATTGTAAAAAATAGAATTCTCGCCTCATCTCTACAAATAAACTCGATATCTGGATCTCGTGAATATAATTCTTGACAAAAGAAATATTGGAGTTGAAGATTGTCACTTTTTCTTTCATCTGAATACTTCAAGCTATCAGTATTGTTATTTGTGATCCACGTAGGATTTTGAAAAAGGCATTCCATTGGTAATGAACCGGTACAATCCCAAGCAAGGAGACCAGAGATAAAAATCTTATTGTCGAAGTCACGGTCAAGTAAAATTTTACTTGCGGTTAATTCCGACGGACATAAAACAAATGTATCATCATGATATTTGTCAGAGAAATGATTATAAAACAATTCTGCCAATTGTCTTTGAACGGGGCACCATAATTCTTTACATTCACCACCTTGACCATCAAGAAATTTAATTTCTTTATCTAAAGCGGCTTGTAAAAAATCTCGAGTAGTTGTGAATGGACCAAAATTAGCATTTTTTGTTTCATCTCTTCCTGATAGCATAAAAGCGTGAAAGATGCATTCACCGACAACTACTTGATCATTAGCTTTACACTCATTTGAGTACAAACTTCCTATTTTTGGAAATTGCAAATTTTTTAATTTCATCAAGATATCGATTATTTGAAGTAAAACATCTTGTTTTTCTTCAAATGTAAGATCCGGCCATTCGTTATATAGAGGAACGCCACGTAAATGTTTCATTATTACAAAATCGGTGCCAATAACGTTGTCATTATCATCATTCCAATAGTATATTTCAGGAACTGGAATATCAGTATGTTTAGCTACGTAATTGATAATGGAGGCTTCACTTTGTAATCGTTTTGACGTATAAGCTTTAGAATATTTGTGAAATTTGTTGATAGGAGATGATAAACGAACAACATATTCCGAACCATCCTTCATAATTGCAAGATAAGGAGTATGGTTGCTCATATTTTGATCTATTCTGAAGATTGAAGAACAAGATTGCTTAAAAAATGCCTCTATATCTTTTTGTAAAGCATTAAAATTAATTAAATCAACATCATTTATATCATAAAGGTTGGTGGTGTCATCATCGTTTAAATAAAAAGATGATCTATCTTTTGGTGATTGAACCGATAGAATACTGCTGGTTTCAATATCATCATTGATGGAAATATAATCAACGTTGTCAAAAATGGATTGACCTATTTTCGAACCATCTTCAAAAACTTTGATATCAAAAATTTCTTGGTTAGTTTGAGGATTAATTTCAACTTTGTTTTTTTCAGAGTTATCAAGTTCCATTGCGTTACCGGGGGAAATAATAAATGCAGGAACGTTTGACTAGAAAAAAAATTAAAAGAAGAAAGAAACCTTACTATCCAGATTTTGGATATCCGTTGTTTATTATGTATCAATTACTTAGCAGCATTATTGTAGTAAATCATTTTAAACAAACATTTTTTTTTATAAATAAATATATATATGTAATAAATAAACTATATCTTGCAAGACGAATTAGTCAGACAATTAACTTTGTTCTTGATATCTCGAGTTTAGCTTTACTTGTAACCAATGACTTAAATATTGTTAATTTTTACAGTCTTGTGGCACCATACTAATAAAGATTACGTGGCACGCATTTAATAATAAGTTTGGGTACGAATGTACATGAAATGCAATTTTCTCACGTGTAACGCGTCACTTTAAAGTAGGGATGTATCCCTCATAATTAGTGTGCCCTATTCATTATGATTGATTTTATTTTTAGGATGTATAAAAAATATGCCCGACCGACATAAGTTTTTCATTAATAAACATCATGTAGTAGAAATTACTCTAATTGTTAATGACGTCATTATTAATAACATTTAAGAAAGATTAATATGAGGAATATAGATTATAGATATTAAATTAAGAATCTTATTAATAAAAAACTATTCAATTTTTATATTAGATATCCATTTAGTAAACATATCAAATGCAGCTTTTGACTGATCGGCTGGAGCTTCATGACCGGAGTTATATATCGTAACAAATGATAAATTATCAGCACATTTGACTTGACCGGCGCTAGTTCCATCAACGGACCATTCTTTCATAGGAGCTGATGAAAATTTAGATTTGCATTTCCAATTAAGATTAAGGGCCATTTCCAAACCTCCTTTCCTTTATTTATGTAAATATATATTAAATAAGTGATCTATGCATATACATATATTTCAAAAAGGAAGTAAAAAATATGAATTTGTATGATTACCAGTTACAAATCCAGTCGGCATCACCATGATAAATTAAAGCTCCGATACCATTCTCGAGTAGGAATTCGAGCTCAGAACTAAAATCAAGTGGCCTTTAAAAAAAAAAGAAGAAATAAAGTTTTTTTTTTAATTATTTTCTTTAAACTTTGAAATTGAATTTTGAATTCCTAAAAAATATACGTACAATTCAGGATAAAGATTCAGACCAACTCGTCCTGAACACACTAAATATTTTATTTTACTGTTTGCACCAATTTCTTGTAAAACATCGGGTTTAGTGATATAATTCACATAGTCAGGCGAAAGTACACTCGTCATCGATTCAACCGGAGCTCTAACATCATATTGGCTTAATCCAGTGTTTGAATAGTACGAAGCATAAGAAGTATTTGATCCAGCACAAACATCTACAGCACGAAGACACACATTGGCCAATTTTTCTTGATTACACTTTGTGGCTAAGGTATAAAGAGAAATTTTAAATAACTTTGAAGAATAGCTTTATAAAAATAGCATGCTTGTTTACTCACTTGCTTTTTCACACGCTGGCCATGCATCAATCATTTGATTAATGATCGTTTCATTTATAGACACATCTGTTAAAAGAGCAATGAAATTGTAGAATGTAAATGTAAGTTGGCAATTTACAACGTATTCAATAAGAATAATAAAAAATATAATAAAACATTAAACTTACACGAATTATTTGCCATAAAGTCTGTGAGAGATTTCCTTTATAAAAAAACAAAATAACGTATTAATTTGGTTCAAGAAGATATAATTTAAAACGTTATGTAAGCTTACCATTGAATAAGGAAATTGATTAATGCATTACCCAATCCAACTGATTTGAGATTTATCTTAGTTTTTTCATTTTTTCCATTTTCATATTTATTATTCGAATCGATTATATATTTGCCCAAGGATGTCGCTGCGATATATATATCATTAGATACTGTAAAGTAGAAAATTTATTTAAAACATAAAACAAATAAAATTTTTAATATCTACCAAAACGGCCACCATATGATTCACCAAATATATGAAAATCTAATTTCGAATATTGTGGAAATCTTTGGAAGAAAAGTTGTAAAAACTTGTACATATCCGCAGAAGCTTGTTCAGATGAAGTAACATTATATACATCATCAGAGTAAGAGAAACCTACACCACTTGGCTTAAACAACGTTAAATGAAAAAATGAAAAATGAAAAATGAAAAATAAAAATTAAAAAATGAGTAACACAATCAAAAAAAAAAAAAAATAATAAATTATAATTCGATATATAATAATACCTGATCAAGAAAGAGAACATTCGATACTTCGGTCCAGCTCTCGGGATTTGTGATGGTCGAACTTCCATTATTTTCAGTTTTACATGGACCAACTTCTACAAATAATCCATTCAAGGACGAGCAACCAGGCCCACCCGTTAACCACAACGTCAAAGGAGCAGTCTTGGGGTTGTGACGTGCTTCGAAGAACCAGAAGAACATATGAGTACTCGGACTAACTTGAATGTAACCAGAATACTACATTAAAAAAAAAGTTAAGCTAGGAATATTAAAAAAAAATCATAAATGATAGAGAACGCAAACCTGTTTCACGTTAGCATCGCATAAATTACTCGATACTATGTCATATTTCGATGACGCTGCGCATACAATGTTATAATTAGTATATATATATATATATTAGCATATTGAGAACTATACTTATATACTTACTCGAGGAATCTTGACGTGGTGCGGGAATAGCGAAAACATTAGCAGTTAAAAACAATGTATGGATAAATAAAGGTAGTATCGAGACAAGTTTGAGAGGAATAAAGCATTTCATGTTTTTTATGCTAAATAGACAGATAACTAAATATAATAGTTTATATTAATAAATGCTTTTTTCCTAAAGATTTTTACTGATTCAAAGTAAAACTCCTTGGTGCATCTTCTTTAATATTGGACCCTAATTAAAAAATTTTCCTATTTAAATATAAATTCACAAATGCATTCTGTCCTTCATTTTCAGTTGTTATTTAAATGATAATGATGCATCTTTAAATTACATACACATATTTTTCTTAATTGATGTAATTCTGCGTCTATGCTATTAACATGCATATATTCATGTTATTTGAATATATTCATGTTATTTGAAGAAGGCAATTTGTTATAAATGAAGTATATTTATCGCACAGAAAACTATTTAAGAAAAAAACAAATTTAACTCATGCCGCCAGGAAATTCATGGTATAGGAAAATTTATGTTTTATTTTCCAAATACAGCAGGTAATGTTCATCTTTGGTTAGACAAAGTTCTCCATAAAGACTTCGTTTTGCATAACGCTATATACGTAAAAGTAAACCATTAAACAATAAAAACCATTATCGTTATAACACACCAAATACAATGTATGTACGTACGTACAGTACATGCATTCCCCTGACAAAGTCACAGGTTTTAAGATTTTTTATACTAAAAACATAACAGATAATATGAATATCGAAACTTTTTGCTGTCGCTATAGTAAAAGTCATGTTCTTAACAAAATTTTTACAAACTTATCAATTATAGTCTTAATAAAAAAAAATTTAAAAGACTTTTTTAGAGGGAGCTATGCAGCAAAATTATATGGGAACTATATTAGGAAATCATTATTTGAAAATAAGTATCGGTATCAAACGGCAATTTTTCTCCATACGTACGTACGTATGTATGGGTTGTAAAAATAACCAAATTTGCACGGGTTAACGTTACATGGCCGAAGTCCATGTAACTCGTGCAAATTTAGTTATTTTATACCGGATAACTATTTTATTGCACGGTGCCAATAAGTAAATGAAAAAAAGCACGGGTTGTTTCATAAGACCCGTGCAATAATAAATGATTTTAGGTCAAATTCGGTCAATCCCGACCCTGCCAATCACAATCCGATGAATTATTCAATGGTTGTTTCAAAATATGGGGGTCTGCACTTAAATGAAAACCCGGATTTAATTAAACTTCAGTATATAAATAAAAATTGATTTGCATAATAAAAATCAGGATAATTTAAGGTTATGCTAAATAATTAGCATAGAAGCTAGCGTTACGTAGGGTTTGTCATTTCAAGGGCGCTAGGTCGTCACATGTAGTAACACGTGACGCATTGCTAATTATTTTTTATGTGATGATTTAGCATCACGCCCCGTGCCCCAAATCCTATTAATAGAAGCGGATCCACTACATCGACATTCATTTCATCAAAACAAAACAGCATTTCACCAAATGATCAGGGATGGCAATGCTTATATGGGGAATGGACTAGGAAAACTCCTATTAAAAACAAGTGTCAGACGGAGCACATTCCCCATATGTTCAATTGTTTTAGTCGAAAATGGACATATTATGGGCTACCGTCAATAGAAATAAGGCAAATTAACATTTTAAAAAAATTTAAAGCCTTAACTTTCATAGCTCATATCTCGATGAATTTTAAAGATATCTTAATAAATTTATATTCAAATGAAAGCTTAGATCTTAAGCTTTCTTTAGAATAGAAATTTATTAAGATAGCTTTAAACTTCATCGAGATATGAGATATGAGCTGTGAAAGTTAAGGCTTTAAAGTTTTTTAAAATGTTAATTTGCCTTATTTCTATTGACGGCAGCCCATACGTATAAAGTTTTACATATGAATGTCACCA